GTCCACTGAACCTGGAAAGGGGGCTGTCACAAATGTATGGCCAAAGGTATGGCCACTGTACCTGAATGTACACAGTGTTCTTTCAGCTGAGAAGGCAGGAGGAGAGTTGTTGGATAGTGACATGGCTGTGCCTGCCCCATGGAGGTGCCTGCTAACAGCTGTCACTATTTATTATGGAGGCTTTACATGGAACTTGGCAAGCAAAGCCTAAAATGTACATGCTAGACCAAAGGAGGAAGAAGAACTGAGGCCCTGTTGAAGAACAGCAATAAGAAAAGGGTTTGACCTACTGCTTGTTATGGCTTGCTGTAATGACATAATAACAGGACAACGATAAAGCATAGTGTGGACCAAAAGTTGGCAAATAGCAAACCATAGGTCAAATCTGGCTGCTGTCACAGTTTTTCTGGCACACAGCCGTGTTCATTTTATGTGCTATCTGTAGCTGCTTTCATGCCTCAGTGGCAGAATTCAGTAGTTATGATAGATGATGGCCCGCAAAGCCTAAAATACTTACTGATTTTTTAAATTATTTATTTATTTTCACTGCATTGGGTCTTCATTGCTGCTTGTGGGCTTTCTCTAGTTGTGGTGAGCGGGGACTACTCTTCATGGTGCTACACTGGCTTCTCTTGTTGGGGAACATGGGCCCTAGGCTCAGAGGCTTCAGTAGTTGCAGCACGTGGGCTCGGTGGTTGTGGCTCAAGGTCTCAATGAGTGCAGGTTCGGTAATTGTGGTACTTGATCTTAGCTGCTCCACCTCATGTGGCATCTTCCTGGCCCAGGGATCGTACACATACCCCCTGCACTGACAGATGGATGCTTATCCACTGTACCACCAGGGAAGTCCCCTAACTGATTGTTATTGGCTGAATTGTATCCCCCCAAAATTCCTGTGTTGAAGTCCTGATTCCCCATAACTCAGAATGTCCCTGCTTATGATCTTTCAAGTTTAAACTTCTTAAGTCAAAATGTGGATATTAGGTTGGGCCCTAATCTAATATGACTGGTGTCCTTACACGAAGAGGAGATTAAGACCCAGAAATGCATGAGGGGTGGCCTATGAGGACATGGGGAGAAGCTGGCAGCTACAAGACAAGCAGAGAAACCTCAGCAAAAATAACTCTGTCAATACCTGTACCACAGACATTCAGCTCCAGAACTGTGAGAAAATTAATTTCTATTGTTTAAGCCACCCTCTTGTATTTTATTATGGCAGCTCTAGAAAACTAACACAGTGGCCTTTTACAGAGAAAGTTTGCAGACCCCCATTAGAGGCAACATTATCAATGGAACAAAATAAAAGAGACTAAGAAACAGAACTCTTCTTCCAGAGTAGTGGCCCCTGGAAGAAATCCACATCCTGATCCTGGAGCCTATGAATATATTATCTTGCACAGCAAAGGGGAACTACATTGCTCTCAGCCCAGCTTAAATAGATTATCCTGGATTGTTGTGTGTGCCTCATGTAATCACATGAGTCCTTAAAGTGGAAGAGGCAGAAAACGAGCCAGAGTGATGCAGCGTGAGGAGGACTCTGTTGCTGGTTCTGAAGATGGAAGACAGGGGCCCTGAGCCAAGAGATACTCATGGCCTCTAGAACCTGGAAAAGGTAAGGAAAGGATTTTCCCCAAAAGCCTCCAGAAAGGAACACAGCCCTGCTCTTACTGTCAGGTAGGAAGTTAGGGATGAGCAACTAGGGGTGGCTAACCGAAAAGGATGCAAGCTGATCTCTAAACCCCACCCCAGGCACACCCAGGAGAGCTCACAGATACTCTAGCAAAATAACCACAGCGACTTGTCCAACTCCTGCATCTGTGCCCTAGGCACACAGTGGATACAAACTAACCATAGGGGCTTCTCCAACTCCGGCACATGCACCCTTGATACACAACTGTGTCCTCAAGTAACCTTATGCAGCTAGGAGCCCTAAGCATTCATGAATATTCTATACATATATACATCTGATTATTAACAGACTGAATTATGGGAAAGACAAGCACCATAGTCTGTTGTTAGGTAACTTGCAGCTATCAAAACTTTCAGTCCACCCCCAGCTAGATGAAGATGTAAAAACTATTTCATGTATGCCCAGACATGTCCCCTTTCCTGATTGAGCATACACCCATTTGTGTTTTGCACAGGGCAGAACCAAGAGGAGGAGACAGAGAGTATAAAAAGGGAAGCCAAGAGGGACCATGCCACTCTTTCGTTCTGTCTGCTGTTTAATAAAAGATCTATCTGCTTGAACTATAAAGTGAAAGTGAAGTCACTCAGTCATGTCTGACTCTTTGTGACCCCATGGATGGTAGTCTACCAGGCTCCTCTGTCCATAGGATTTTCCAGGCAAGAGTACTGGAGTGGGTTGCCATTTCCTTCTCCAGGAGATCTTCCCAACCCAGGGATCGAACCCAGGTCTCCTGCTTTGTAGGTAGATGCTTTACCATCTGAGCCACCAGGGAAGAGCCTATAACTGAGCTGTAATCAGTCTGTTGTTTTGAATCCTGCTACAATGAGACAGGGGTCAAGAAATCCTGCCTGAGCTGTAATTAGTCCGTTCTTCCAAATCTTTGTTAGGACAAGACAAGAGCCAAGGGAGAGAAATAAACAGACCTGACATTACCAACCAGGGTTTTTGGTCTCTGTAGTCAATAGAAATTGATCAGAGGCCAGACAAGGAATTCCGGACTTCTACTGCAGCAGGGAGGAATGAGAACAGGTAATAGGTTCCCTTGCTCACTCCCTGAGGTGGGTATGAGCTGGTTCCTTATAGGGGGTGAGAGTAGGAGTGTGACCAGGAGTCGGGCTGGAGGGCTGGCTTAGGTGTCTTGCCCACCGCTTAGGTGGTTTTGTGAACAAGGGGCCTGAGCAGTACCCTGCTTTTGCTCCCAGCTCTTCAAAAGTGGCATTTGGGTTTTTTGGTCTCCTTGTATCATTTGTTCAGAATTTGCCCCAACTTCTCAGAAGTGCAGTTGTTTTTAGTCCCTTAGAGTTTCTTTGTACCTTGTTGCTTGAGGAGAGGTGTGTCCAGGTGCAAGCATTGCAGTAAATGGTCCCAGCCTGTCTCACTGTCAACACTTTGATTTAATCCAAAAGATCTCTGTTGAAACTTTGACCTTCAGAAGTGTAAGATAATAAATGTGTGTAGTTTTGAGGCACCATGTTTGTGGTGATTTGTTATAGCACCACAGAAAACCAACACAACATGAGAACTTAGTAGATTACAGAGATTGGTTAACAAACAAGTGGGCAAAGGATGCTAACTCCACATTTCAGCATAGTACTTGTTGTTCAGTCACTAAGCTGTGTCTGAGACTTTGCAACCCTATGAACTGCAGCATGCCAGTCTTCCCTGTCCTTCACTATCCCCTTAGTTTGCTCAAACTCATGTCCTTCCTTTCCATATTTAATAGTTAAAAATTAATTTAAATGTATTGTGAGACAGCAGTCTTTTTTCTATTCTTTGATAGCAATCTCATTGTTCAAAAAGACCAGTTCGCTTCTTGATGGAGCAGTGAAAAATATTTTTATTAAATCTCAACTCTTGAGACCACATCTTTTTAGTATCTTTGCAACAAATATTCTGTGATGTATCCTGAAATTCAATAGTAGTCTTCAGGAAAATCACCTGTGTGATTATATGAGTTAGGAGCTGAACTTTGAGTGAAAGAAAAACTGAAAGCTGAGGCAGACATGGGGATGTGGCAGACATCTCAACAGTCAAACAAGTAAGCTGTCACTTAAAGGGAAACAAAGACAGAATTTTTTTGCCAACATAAAACTAGAGTTTTCAAGTGAAAATGGAATTTTGGAAATCTTGTATCTGCCACTGTGAACTTCACAGATTCTCAATACTTTAAGGTCAGTGATGATATTGATAAATAGCAGCTTTCATATTTTACAATGAAAGGTGTCAACATCTGGAAGATATGCATTAGTCAATGAACCCGTATTTTCCAAATGACCATTGTATGATGTTACAAAATCATGCCTGATAAAACTAGCCATTCAAAGTGCAAGACAGATCAATGAGTTTTAATAAAATAGAGTAGAAAAAGTTTACCTATCTGGTTTTAGGTGGTGTACTGCAACTGTCCTATGCCTGTTCAGCTTTTACTAAGAGGTAAAATTACCTAGGTATATTAAAATACTCTGTCCTTTTCCAACGACATACTTATGTGAGGCCAGATGTTTTAATATACTTCCACAGACGCAACATAAACAACCAGAGTGAGTGCAGAAGCACATACGAGAATCTAGCCGTTTTATATTAAGCCGGACAGTTAAAAGATTCTCCCATCCCCATCCCCAAGGGAAAACAATGCCACTCCTAATTTTTCTGCAGAATAAATTTAATTTACATGAAAATGTCCCTTATACAACAGAATGGATCTTTTTATTATTAAATTTTAAATTAGTACTTCTGCCATCGGAAAGCAAGAATCTTAAAATATTTTTAAGTCAACGCACATCCCTCCCCACTTTGCGCTATTGCCATCAATTGTTTTAATCCTCTGTATTGTTGAAAGTCCCCAAAACGCCCGCCCAAGGATGGGGCCGGAAACTCCGCGATTCGCGGCTGCAGCGCCCCCTCCCGGCGGTCCTTGGCTGGAGCCACCCCCGGAGGAGGGATGACCGCGGAGGCTTCTGGGAGTTGTAGTTTGTCCTGCCCGTGGGTCTCGCTGACGCAATTTCTGTGCGTCCCTAGCAGCCGCCATCCACTCGGCACCGGCCGGGGAGAGCCCTGTTCGGTGGGCCGAGTCTCATGACGGTCGCGGTGACCTGAGCTGGTGCCGGCCGACCTCGGCTGCCCGAGGGCCGTCGCCGAAGCGCCCAGAACGGGTGACTCAAAGTCGAGAGGGAGAACGAGCGGATCTGGTTGCAAGATCCAGGAGGTCGGATGGGAGCGCGTCTCCCTCGCATTCCCGCGCTACCAGTCAGGGCTCGGGGGAGCGGTGCGCGCCGATTCCCTCCAAAATCAAAGGGGCGGGACTGTGCAGACTAGTCTGGCCTCCCTTACGCCTGCCCTGGCCCAGTCGCGTGTGTGTAGGTGGGGACGAAGGTGGGGAACGCCTCTGCTGCGTGAGAGGAGGGGGCCCAGCCAAGGGAAGGGAAATGCGCGTCCTCTGGGATCAAGAGGGTCTCGCGCGGGCGCGGGCGCGGCGGAGAGACCTGGTCCCTCAAGATTCTCTCCTCCCGCAACCATCGGGTCGTGCCATTCTCTTGCAGGGAACTCAAAACTGGCTGTGGGGATGGCCACCAGGGTCCGGACAGCTGCCATCTGGGTGAGTAGGAATTTTCTTTTGTTTCTGAAAAACTCCGTAAAGACCGACCTGTGCTCATCCGTCTCTTCCAGGGTTGGCGTTTGCTTGGCGTTCCCTCTCCCCACCCCGCTGCCAAATCACTGGGCCTCCTTTAGGTAACGTTAGGCCGTCCAGAAGCGCTTCTTGTCATCAGACTGTTAATTTACTCACTTAAGTCTCTTTTCTGCCAGTTCTATACCTTGAACCTTGAGTTAAACAAGACGTAATCATCCATCTTCCAGTTTCTTCAACACCCATTTTCTTAGTTTTTACCTTCTGTGTCTAAGATTTTGGGACCTCATTTGGGAAATTACGCGTTTGTCGCTAGTTATTCAACAGTTTTATTGTCTTTTGTTTGCTGGATCCTGGGGCAGTTGCTAAGGGTGCAAAGATAAGTCGTTCTTGCCTTGGAAGAGTCATGATCTGGTGGGGATGGTGGGCAAGATAATGTACAAGCACAGTGACACCTTAGGGGTCCTCTGAAAGCAAGCTGTGAAAATGTGTGGGGACCTACAGCACAGGGTCAGTTTTGGAAATAAGGACACTCCAAGAAATGCCTCAGGGGTTAATAAGGGAGTCTTAAACTGATTTGAAAGGTAACTGAGGTGAACAAGGGACAGCCTAGGAAAAGGAAGGAGCATGCAAATTTTAGAGGCTTCAAGTGATCTAATATGTTGGTGAACTTTGAACACTACAGTTGCTGAAATGTAGAGTTTAGGATTTTGCAGGGGATGGTGGTGATGGAGTATAAGAAATGAGGCCAGAGCCATAGGTAGAGATTGGATCATAGAGGGCTTTGAGGGTCACATTAAAAACTCGAATTTGGGGACTTCCCTGGCAATTCAGTGATTAGGGCTCAGAACTTTTATCACAGAACCTGACCCCAGGTTCAATCCCTGGTTGAGAAACTGAAATCCCACAAGCCACATGGTGCTGCCAAAAAAAAAAAATCTTGGATTTTATCCTCTAGTGGAGAAGGACTCATTGAAGTGTTTTCCAAAGGAATTTTGGATGGAACAGTCAACATCAGGCAAGTGATGACGAGACTTAAGTACACTAGTGGTTCTGAGAAAAGAGGCACAGAGTCCGAAGCAAGTGGACTTGGTAACTAGTTGGATGTTGGTGAGGGAGCAAGAAGAGCCAGGCATCACTGCTGGAGGTCTGCTCTGTGGGCCTGGGTTGGGAGGTACCATTTCCTGAGTGAGCGAGGACTATCAGAGTTGTTAAGAAGGGCCGGGTGGACATTTCTGTTGGATATGGTGGTACCCTGCAGGTGCTGGTGGGCAGGTGGGTAGGCATGTGTCTCAATTCAACGGTCTGGACAGGTTACACTGAGTAGGTCTAGCCAGGTGAGCTCAAAGAGCAATTGTGCCCTGGGAAGAGGACCAAGGGCAGTGTGCAGGTGATGAACAAGTGAGGGCAGTGGAGGAGGGGCTGAAGGTTGAGGAGCCCATCAGAAATGAGAGAAATGGAGGGATTTGTGTTTCAGAGTCAGAAAAAGAAACCTCAAAAATGGTTACCTATGAGATGGCCCAGAGAGGTTAAGTAATGTTACATCAGAGAAGTTCAGGTTGAATCTGGTGGTGATGGTGGTGGTGGGTTTTGCTGGTAATATTTCCAGAGCAGGGTGTGAGTGTAGATATGTGTTGGGCAGAAGTGGATGGAGTGGAGTGGAAGGAACAGGTTGGTTGCCAAAATGGGACTCATCAGTAGACAGCCAGGTAGGCTTAATTAGTGTGTCCTGTGTAGTGGGAAGAGAGTGGTGGCTTGAGGAGAAACCAGTGAGGTACCATGTCCAAAATCAGTCTAAAAATCAGTAGGCTTCCTGTTTATCAGTTAGCTTATTTACAATGGCAATAAAACAGTTGAATTACTATAAACCTAAGCAATGCAGAGTACTTACACAAAGAAAACTTTACAACTTCAGTAATACAGTGTCTGCACTTCCCAGCCATGGGTCTCAGCACTTTACAAACTAATCCTCACAGCAACCTCATGAGGAAGACAGATGACACATAAATGATGAAGAAACTACTTAACAGGAAATGTCATTGTTATGTTATACATGGAATTAAAATTGGTTGATGTGAGATTGGGTGCTTGGGAAAGGCCTCATGGAGGAGGTGACATTTGCCAGGTCTGAGGTACCAGAGCAGGCCAGCCTTGGGAGGAGCAGGTGAATGAACATGCAGGGTGGGAACAGCCATTGCCAAGGCCTTGAGGTGGGGGAGGTTTGGTGCCTTTGTAAACAGGAATGAAAGTCCCCTGTGGCTATGGTTGTGGGGGAGGGGAGGAGAGGAGACAGACCTAAGGATGTCAGAGGCCCAGTCAGGCTGGGAAGCTGATGAGTTAAGAAAAGAGCACAACATGACTTAACTTGGGTTTTTCAAAGCCCTTCTGGCTGCTAAGTAAAGTATAGGTGAGGTAGGGCAGAGGTGACCGCAGGGGTCCAAATGAGAGACCGCGGGTGTGCTGTCTAGGGCAGTAGAAATGGAGAACCTAGACAAAATTGAGGTGTGTTTGAAAGTCGAATCCTGTTTTCTGAGAATCAGCTTATGCTTGTCAACTAGTCCGTCGTCCCCTTTTTTCTTTTTTTTAAACTGTGTTGTCTTTGTTGCTGCACGGGGGGTTGCTTGAGTCTTGGTGAGCAGGGGCTCCTCTCTAGTTGTAAGTGTTTGGGCTTCTCATTGCAGCGGCTTCTCTTGTTGTGGAACATGGGCTCTAGGGCATGTGGCACACAGGCTTAGTTGCCCTGTAGCATGTAGAATCTTCCCAGAGCCCTGATCGAACAGACATTTTTTTTTTTTTTTAATAAACAGTCTGTCAGTCCTTGTGCTTAACTGGAACACTTCTTGATCTTGATTATTAATGTAGTTACTGATATGTTTATGTTTAAATTTACTGTCTTACTGTATTTTTTCTGTTTGCTATACCTGATCTGTTTTTTTGTTTCTTCTCTCTTGCCTTTTTTATACTGATAATTTTTTATTCTTTTTCTCTCTCTAAGCAGTTTGGAAATCAAACACATTATTTCTTTTCTTTTTTAGAAAATTGAATGTATTACTTTGTATTCAAGTATAGCTGATAACAATGTTGTGATAGTTTCAGGTGGACAGCAAAGGTTCTCAGACATACACACACGTGTATGCATTCTCCCCTAAACTCCCCGTCCCATCCAGGCTGCCATGTAACACTGAACAGAGTTCCCTGTGCTATAGTAGGTTAAACACATTATTTCTTAAAGTTTTTTTTAATTTAAGTTTATATTTTGACATAGTTTTAGATCTTAGAAATGCTGCAAGAATAATACAAAAGTTGTTTTATACCCTTCATTCAGATTCCTCAATACTAAAATTTTACTGGACCTGCTTTATTTTCTCTCATTCTCATTCCTGGGTCCTTTCCTCTTTTTCTATCCATGTACATGCAGGTTTTTTTTTTTTCTTAACTGAAAGTAATTTGCAGGCATGATTTTCCTTTATCTCTAAATACTGCAGTTCTTACCAATGAGAATAATATTTTACATAACCACTGATTCAGGATATTGACATTAATACCATGTTATTATTTCATTTACAGGTCTTATTTCGATTTTGCCAACTGTTCTTTATAGGAATTTTGGGAATACTGTCCTTGATAGGTAAAGAATAACTTAAAGTGTGCATTGCAGTGGGTTGTCCTGAATCTTTCGTCTAACCTGGAAATGATATTTTTCAGTGAATGGTGTCGGATTCGTGATCTCTGAAGAAGAAGATTTAGCTTTGGGATCAGGGACCAGGCTTGATTACTCAGAGCTTTTGTGTGGCAGAAGTTTTATTACAGTGAAAGGAACAGAGAAAGCTTCTGACATAGACATTAGGAGGGGGACAGAGAGTGCCCCCCTCACTGATCTTAGCAAGGAGCTATATACTTTTTCAATTGGTTATTACAGTAAATCAAAAGAATGTCTCAGGTTTGTAAAGGTCTTACCAGACCCACTTCCACAGTTTACATTTTAAGATAATGGGATTAGAACTAACAATAGAAAGATCTTACCAGACCCACTCCCACAACATACAGTTTTATGTGACTAAGATGAAGGAATGTAGAAAAAAAAATGTTTGTCCTTTTCTTCTTGAGAGCCCCAGACCCCTTTCTCCTCCCAAAGGACCCCAGACTTCTTATCAACCTACCTAAGAATTAACTCAGAAAGTTCCTCGGTCTTTCTTGTCAAGACATAATGGTTATGGAGTCCAGGGCATTTGGTGGATTATCCCTCAGTTTGGGGTTGTCTGCTGCTGCTTCAGAAGTGATGTATTCTACACTCTGTCACATCAGGGACACTGGAGTGAATTGACTCACTTGGGGAAGGTGGTGTCTGTGCTTTCTCCCCTGCAAAGTTACTCTGTCTTGCATTTGTAATTAAGTATCAGTTGGGAGATGATGAGACTAAATAGTATCTTCTTACTCCTCAAACTTTACCCACTCATCTAGCCCCCATGTGTGGTTCTTGTATGAAGTTTTTATTTATTTTTTTTTTAAGAAGAAAAAATAAAACTGTCTTCATTTGCTGATGGTTATATATAGAAAATCCTAAAGACTCCACCAAAGTGCTAGAGCTAATAAACAAATTTAGTAAATTCACAGGATACAAAATTAGTATACAAAAATCAGTTGGAGGTTTATATACTGACAATAAAATATCAGAAAAAGAAATTTATAATTTCATCAAAAAGAATAAAGTAGGAATAAATTTAACCAGAAATTGAAAGATCTATACACTGAAAATTCTAAGGCATTAATAAAAAAGGCACAAATAATGGAAATAAATTTACCTTTGAACAACGTGAAGCCTGAATTGCAGGGAACACTTATATGTGGATTCTTTTTCAAATAAGTACATATGCCAGTACTACCCAATCTTCAGTTGGTTGAATTTGTGGATGTAGAACTGCAGATACCCTGGGCCAACTGTAATGTTATATGTGTGAATTTTCATCTGC